GGAGGCGGAGGTTGCAGTGAGCCAAGATCAGGCCACTGTACTCCAGCCTGGGGGACAGAGCAAGACTCTGTCTCAAAAAAGAAAGAAAAGAAAATGTACTTACTGAATGGCAAGACCTCCCACTAGCCCCCTTCTCCTTCCATGTTCCCAATGTGTTGGAAGCTAGACTTATACCACCCAAGTAAAATTGTAGAAGATTAGTCTTCAGGGAAATTGACTAGCCCATGAGAAAAAACCCACACTCCCAGTTAAAAAGTCCCTTGATGAAACAAGGCTCCAACCAATTACCTGACAGTAGAGCTCCCACCAATAAGATTTAACACACCAAAAAGCTTCCAATTGGACTTAATGAGTGCTTACTCTCATTCTAAAATATGAATAGACATCCAAGAAATCAAGGGACATTTAAGAGCTGGACATAGTAGCACATGCCTGTAGTCCTAGCTACTCGAAAGTATGAGGCAGAAGGACCACTTGAACCCTGGAGTTCAAGTCCAGCCTGGGCAACATAATGACACCCCCATCTCTTTTTAAAAAAAGATATTTAAGGAAGATTATTATTAGATTATTAATCTTAGATTAATAGTAAAGCAATATTAAAACAAGAAGGAAAGAAAGAACAAAAAAAAGAAAGAACAAACTAAAGAAGTAGAGATAATGCATGATACATGATACAGAAGAATTATTGTAATATCCTCCAAGATATGAGGGTTAATTTGCATTCATGAAATTTGAATAGGAAACTATATAAAAGAACATTCAAAAGAAAGAAAAAGGTTGAAGTTCTTGGAAATTAAAAATAGAATAGCAGAAGTGAAAATTTCAATTAAGAAAATCTCTCAGAATATTGGAAAAAGAGAAAACAGCATTAGAAAAAATGAGAAAATCAGTCCAACATTCCAAATAGTAAGCATTCTAAAAGGTGAACGAGAAAACCAAATGAAGGCAGGAAATTATCAAAGAAATAGTCCTAGAAGATTTCCCAGAATTCACATATGTGAGTTTGTAGGTTTAAAGTATCCATTGAATGTCCAGCACAATGAATGATAAAAGACCCATACCCACACATGGCACATTACTATAACATTTCAGAACATCAGGGATAAGATGCTAAAAGTTTCCAATAAGGAAAAAAATTTACTTTTCTGCATGCGAAAAGGAAACATAAGACTTCTCAAGTACAGCACTGAAAGCCAGAAAATAATGTTAACAGTGCCTCAGAAAAAATGATTTCCAACCTACCCAGCCAAACTGCAAAGTATAAAAGAAAAGACACTTTCCAGTTACCAAGCCTCAAAAAATGTACTTACGCATTCTTCCTTAGGAAGCTATTGAAGGATATACCCCACCAAGATGAGGGAGTATACATAATAAGTAGGAAAACAGGCAGCTCACACCTAGAATCCCAGGACTTTGGGAGACCAAGGCAGAAGGATCACTTGAGCCCAGGAGTTCAAGATCAGCCTGGGCAACATAGGGAGATCCTATCTCTACAAAAAAAAATTTTTTTTTAATTAGTCAGATGTGGCATGTGCCTGTAGTCCCAGCTACTCAGGAGGCTGAAGCAGGAGGATCGCTTGAGCCCAGAAGGTCGCTACACTCCAGCCTGGGTGACAGAGCAAGACCTTGTCTCAAAAAAAAAAAAAAAAGGAAAACATAGGATCCAGGAAACAGAATATCCAAAAAGGAGACAGACAAAGGGACTTCCTCCCTAGGATGGTGGTGAAGAATAACTCTGGGTCAATAACTATGCACTGAAACCATTCCAGGTGGATAGATCTCTTCAAGAAAACAAAAAGTGAAATATATAGAAGTCCTGTGTGTTTGATCATGGATCTTGCAAGGAACTAGAGAAATAACAACACCTTACATATGTTGAATTGTTACTATGTCCTGATACCACTCTAAAGTCTTTATGTGTATTATTTCATTTAACACTATGAAGTGGATACTATCATTACCCCCATTCGCAGATAAGGGAATTGAGGCATCTTAAAAATTGAATAATATGCCCAGGATTACACAGTTAGAATGGTGTCAGTGAATTCACTGGACTGTCAGGAAGGTGTGAAACCTCAGCAGAGGAAAAGCCTACTACAAGCCAGGACATCACTGGAGGTGGGTGAGGGAAATGAGTAAAGACTGGGCTTGCCCAGGACATCTGGGCCCCTACACAGACTGATCTTTTATCGTGAATATAGGTTTATAGAATATATATTTTCTTTTACTATACTTCTTTCTTTTTTTTTTTTTTTTTTTTTTAAGACAGAGTTTTGTTTTGCTCTCATCACCCAGGCTGGAGTGCAATGGCATGATCTCAGCTCACTGCAACCTCTGCCTCCAGTATGCAAGCAATTCTCTGGCCCCAGCCTCCCAAATACCTGGGATTACGGGCACGCACCAACACTACACCATGCCTGGCTAATGTTTGTATTTTTAGTAACGACAGGGTTTCGCCATATTGGCCAGGCTGGTCTTGAATTCCTGACCTCAAGTGATCCTCCCACCTTGGCCTCCCAAAGTGCTGGGATTACAAGCATGAGCCACCACGCCTGGCCCTATTTTCTTTTATTATACTTTGTAATATAGTATGGCAAAGAGTATCTTTCCTGTATTTTTAGATATGCCCAGGAATTCTGGGAAACAGAGATATGCAAATCTAGCAAAATTATATCATTATTAAAAGCAAATACAGGCTAGGCATGGTGGCTCACTCTTGTAATCCTAAAGCTTTGGGAGCCCACAGCAGGAAGATCACTTGAGCCCAGAAGTTCAAGACCAGCCTGGGCAATGTAGGGAAATTCTCTACAAAAAAATTTAAAGATTAGCCAGGCAGGGTGGCTTGCACCTGTGGTCCCAGCTACTCAGGAGGCGGAGGCAGAAGGACTGCTTGAGGCCAGGAGTTCAAGGCTGTAGTGAGCCTTGCACCCCTGTACTCCAGCCTGGGAGACCGTGAGACCCTGTCTCTAAAATAATAATCATAATAATAAATAGCAGGTTGGGCACGGTGGCTCACGCCTGTAATCTCAGCACTTTGGGAGGCCGAGGTGGATGGATCACCTGAGGTTGGGAGTTCAAGACCAGCCTGATCAACATGGAGAAGCCCTGTCTCTACTAGAAATACAAAATTAGCCAGGCATGGTGGTGCATGCCTTTAATCCCAGCTATTCGGGAAGCTGAGGCAGGAGAATCGCTTGAACCCAGGAGGTGGAGGTTGCAGTCAGCCAAGATCGTGCCACTGCACTCCAGCGTAGGCAACAAGGGCAAAACTCTGTCTCAAATAATAATAATAATAATAATAATAATAATAATAATAATAATAACAGCAAATACAAACACAAGCCACTAGTTTTTGTATGTAATATACATGAAACAATTAGTTATAAAATATAATGTGACATAAATTGTTAAGCAAAGATTAGAATTTCAAGGAAGAAAGGAAACTATAGACTAGAGCAAAAGTTCTCAAACTTGCACTGTGTCAGAATCAGCTGGAGTGATTGTTAAAACACATTGCTAGGCTACAGAATTTCTAAGTTAATAGGTGTGTAGTCAGGGCCAAGAATTTGTATTTCCCACAATTTGTATTTTCCCAGTGGTGCTGAAGACCACACTCAGAGCCATAGAGTATATAGAGAATACTCTGAGGGAAAAAAAAACTGAGCCTTGAAGGACTGGGTGGGAATTAAGTTACATTAAGAAAAACTAGCCTTATGCTATTTTCAGAGGCAAGTGATGACATTGTGGATGGTTGAGTTCAAGGCTAGGGAAGAAAGTATCTGATCATAAGTCAGACTCTAATCAGAACACCATAGGCACATTTCCTACCAACCACTGCTTCAGCCCCAACATTTAGAATGAGTCCTTTCCCTCTTCCTGAGAGGAAAGGAAAGGTTGCCTGTCACCATCCCAGAGAGTAGTGAAGCCTCCCATTGCTGTAACAGGAAGAAATCTACCTACGTATTTATGAGAAGCAAGGTCCTACACCTTTTCCTCTGAGACAGCATAAAGTGATACTCTTCTACTCAGAACACTGAGATGTGAGAGGTTCCACTATCAAAGCAGTGAGAAGCAAGTCCTTCCACCTCAGCAGCAGTAAGCAGATCAGATCCCTGCCATAGCTGCAGAGAGAAGTTCACTGTTCTGGCAGCAAGGAGGAAGCTGATCACTTACCACCACAGTCACTGATATTTGAGGCATGCATGTTTGTAAGTCAGATGTTTATACCATGGATCAGAGTCCTTTATCATATACAGCCTGCCAGCTGTACTAATTCTCAAAGAATGTGTAACCTAAAATGCCCAGTAACACATCTAAGTCTGTTCTTACACATACACTCCAAAAAAAAAAGATAAGAAAGAAAAGCAATCAATGGTGATTTACTCCAGATCATAAGCTTACTGGTAGTATTTTCTTTTCTTTTTTATACTTTTCTATGTTTTCTAATTCTCTGCAATGAGAATTTCTTTTAACTTAAAACAAAATTTGCATTTTTAAACCTAACACAAAGTAATAATCATTAATGTTTGTATTCAAGCTGGTACCACTTAAGGGTTTGTCAAGGATCATAATTCATAAGTATTTTTCTAAACAAAACAGGGAGGTCAGAGCTGGACATGATAGCAGGTACCTATAGTCCAGCTACTCAGGAGGCTTAGGAGGGAGGAGAATTTGAGCCCAGGAGTTCCAGTCCAGCCTGGCAAAATAGCAAGACCTCATCTCTCTCTGAAAAAAACAAAAACAAAAACTCTGGGAAGGCTTGGGTAAAAAAGGGAGACCAAAAGCCAAGGAATACAAATATAAATAGTCAAATGGCCTGTGGGAGGTATCAGTAGATATTCTATAAATATCACAGAAATAGACACTCAAATATTATTGAATGAATATGCAAATTAGATTTAAAGTAAGTTTCTTCAGCATATGTAACTAGCAACTTGACTTTTTAAAATGTTTATCCTATATCTCTTTGTATCCATTTCTGAATTACTTTTTTTTTAAAGCTATTTCCAAAGAAAATTCCAGCATACTGGCCCAGGAATGTTGTGGAGTCCCTACACTATGGGCTATGGAAAAAGGACACTTAAGCCAGACATATGCACACCTCCAAGCTCAAGCATGGCTGCCTTTGCTAATGCTGCCCGGATTGCAATAATGAAAGAAAAGGATTTATTTAAATTTCTTGAAGAGCTCAAGAGTAAGAGCCATTTGTTCTCTCTCTACTGTTGTAAAGGATGTATTTTATATGACTGGTCAGAAAGAAGTACTAGAGCCCAAATGCCTTAAGAACAGAACCACAGCCTATTCTGAATGACCACTCTGTGTCACATAGATGTCATTTGAAAGCAAATGTAGATGTAACCTGAATCCTCAGATGCCTGATGAAGTCTAGAGTCTGTTAATGGGTTGGGAGTGGAAGCAGGAGAGTGAAGAATGAGGGCCATGGCCACTGAGAAGAATAGACAAAGCAAAACAGGCACCACATGCTAGTCTTTTATGTGGATTTCTTACATTGTTTGTGATACCATTTTTGTTTTTATCTTTTTAGGATGCAATTCCCATTCAGATAGCCCATATTCAAAAATACCCATCTTTCCATTGTTCCCTAATGTGGATGGGGTGGTGATGGGAAAGCCATTCAAAGACATGCAGAAATTAGAGATGCTAAGAAGAAAGGAGCCTTTGAATTTCTTTGAGGATTATTTTTTCCATAAAAGAGACTGGAAAACACAGGTGAGATTAGATTATGTCACATTAGTTAAATACTTGGATTTTTAAGCACTAACTTAAAAGAACTAATAACATGCTTTTTACAACAAATAGTTTTAGTCATTATTTTCAAACCAGATGCCATAGCCATGTGCCCAAATTTAAGACCAGGTGTTAACATTTCATTTAATTTCAACAAATAAACTTACTAAAAAATACAGGTTTGGGGTTGGGGATGGGGAATATAGGAATAATAACAATAAAAGTTTCTCCAATCCTATCTCTGAATGCTCCCCCAACCACTCAGGGACCAGCAGCTGCACTCTGGACACCCTCCATCCACTCTAGATTGTGGTTGGGCAAACACCATGAGATGAGAAGACCAGGCCCACAACCCAAAAGAACAGTGCTGTGATGGAGGGGCCATCCTGCCCTCAACTAGATCCCCATTTATGGTCCCAGCTGCACCTTCTGGCCTTGCTTCAAGTTCTGTTGACTCTAGTCTTTTTGCACCCCCTCCCAAGATATACTTTTGTCATCATAAGTTTTAAGGTCTCTAGCAACTATGCCCAAGTTTCTGGATAATCTCTCAGGAGACTCTGGCCTTACCCCAGATAAGGCCTCTAGGCCTGAGAAACAGAATGGAAATTTAACTGGAGGCCAGCCTACCCTGTGGAGCTCTGGGTTCCAGAGGCCCATGTGTTGTTCACATCACTATACAATTCCTAGAAGGCCCCTCCACACATAGAGTTTAAGAGGCCCAGCGGGGTATCACTGTCACAAATGACCTCAAGTTCAGACTTTGTCTTTCTCCAAATGAAGTAACACCCACAGGAAAATATCACTGAGAAGATGGAAATAAGAGGACATTTATCCTCCTTTAAACTTATGTCCCAACATTCAACTACTCCTCCACCCCAGGTGCTTGTCTGTTTATTGTCAATCTCTCCAAATAGAATATAACATTCATGCACACAAGGGTTGTATTTCTTTCACTGAGGTATCCCTATCATCTAAAATAGAATTTGGCCCATAGGTAACTCAATATTTTTTAGAAGGAAGAATACTGTAATACAAATACTTTATTTCCTGAGAGCATACTATATGCTAGATTGTCTCTAATATAATCTCAGCAGAAATAATGTCAATAGCTTCCTAAATGGTCGCCTTGCTTCTACTATTGTCCCCTTCAATCAATTGTCAACCCAGCAGCCAAAGTGGTTCTGTTAAAATCAGAATGAAACCCTCCAATGGCTTTTCATATCACACAGAATGAAAACCAAAATTTTTATAACTTACAATGTCCCACACAATCAAAACCTGAGCCTTCCAATAATTGTAGCACTAGTAACTGTTTAAATTTCAATTAATTAAAATTAAATAAAATTACAAATTCAGTTCCTCAGTCACACCAGTCACATTGCAAATGCTCAATAGCCATATGTGGCTAATGGCTACTATACTGGATGACACAGAAATATAGAAAATTTCCATTATTGAGGAAAATGTTATTTGCCATCACTGATCTAGGCTCTCATTGCCTATCCAACAATCTCATCTTCCACTGCTCACCATCCAGTGCATTCCACTCCATCCTCAAGGCCTCTTTACTCTTCCTCCTGCAGACCAGACATGCTCTCACCTCATGGTCTATGGCTTTGCTATTTCCTCTGCTCTAATGTTGTTCCTCAGAGAGCTGCATCATAGCTTTCCCATCACCTCTTTCAGGTATTGTCTCAAATATCACTTCAGGAGGCCTAACAACCCCATTAAAATCACAATCCCCACATTGTCATTGTACTAAATGCCACTGAATTGTTCACTTCACTTGGTTCATTTTATGTTACATGAATTTTCACTTAAAAAAATTTTTTTTTGAATCAGAGTCTTGCTCTGTTGCCCAGGCTGGAATACAGTGGCGTGATCTTGGCTCACTACAACCTCTGCCTCCCAGGTTCAAGCAATTCTTCTGCCTCAGCCTCCAGAATAGCTGGGACTATAGGCATGCACCACCACACCCGGCTAATTTTTGTATTCTTAGTAGAGACAGGGTATCACCATGTTGGTCAGGCTGGTCTCAAACTCCTGACCTTAGGTGATCAGCCTCCCAAAGTGCTGGGATTACAGGCGTCAGCCACCATGCCTGACCAATAAATTATTTTTTAAATAAGTATTTAAATAGCTGGGTGCAATGGTACATACGTCTAATCCCAGCTGATCAGAAGACTGAGGCAGGAGGATCACTTGAGCCCAGGAGTTCAAGACTGTAATGTGCGATGATCACGCCTGGGAATGCACTGCACTCTAGCCTGGGCAACATAGTGAGGCTCCATCTCTAAAAATAATTTTTTTTAATTAAAAATAAATTTAAAATAAAAATGTTTGAACAATAAATATATATGTATTCAAATAAAATCACAACCCCCAATACCTTATCCCCTTTCCTGATTTTTTTCATAACACTTGTTACCATCTAATGTATTACATATTTACTAGTATATCTAATACACTACATATTTATATTTATTATACTACATGCATACATATGTATATTTACATCTATATCTACTGTATATGTACTATATTTACAACTTATATTACATTTAATGCTATTTTTATTAAACTATATGTTTTTAATTATATACATATATAGTATATCTAATATACTATGTAGTATATTACATCTAATCTAATATAATTATGTATTTATAAATGTTCATTAGAGGCCGGGCGCAGTGGCTCACGCCTGTAATCCCAGCACTTTGGGAGGCCGAAGCGGGTGGATCACCTGAGGTCGAGAGTTCGAGACCAGCCTGACCAACATGGAGAAACTCCATCTCTACTAAAAATACAAAATTAGCCAGGTGTGGTGGCGCATGCCTGTAATCCCAGCTACTCAGGAGGCTGAAGCAGGAGAATCACTTGAACCCGGGAGGCAGAGCTTGTGGTGAGCCAAGATCGCACCATTGCACTCCAGCCTGGGCAATAAGAGCAAAACTCCATCTCAAAATAAAATAAAATAAATGTTCATTAGAACCAAGAAATAGGCTAGGCACAGGTTCCTCATGCCTGTAATCCCAGCACTTTGGGAGGCTGAGGCGGCTGGATCACTTGAGCTCAGGAGTTTGAGACCAACCTGAGCAACATGGTGAAACCCCGTCTCTACAAAAAAGAAAAGAAAGAAAGAAATGATACTTTCAAGTTTCTGAAAGTAACTGAGTTACATGAACACTACCTGACCCCACACACAGACTCCCTATGGCCACATTAAAATATTGGATAGGGCTGGGTATGGTAGCTCATGCCTGTAATCCCAACACTTTAGGAGGCCAAGGAAGGTGGATTGCTTGGGCCGAGGAGTTCGAGACCAGCCTGGGCAACATGGTAAAATTCTGTTTCTACAAAATATAAATATATATATATATGAATACTGGATGAAATAAAATGACAAACACTGAAAAATGTATTCAAAAGAAAGGAAAACCCATGTTTCAGAAAGCGAGAGAGAGAGTGCCTAAAGCCAGAATAACAAGTTCATAAAATGAACTTGGCGGAGGGGTGGTAGGTAGATCCTATACATCTAGGCCCTGATGGGTTGGGATTGGGGTTTCAATGCCCATTCAGGATCAGGAGATGTGGATCCCTGGAAGTAAGCAACTGGAATTGAAACCAGAATCTGGAAGGATTGCCCTCTCAGTAAAAGAAGGGGTAAGAAACTCAGTCCATAGCGAAGCTTGGCCTGCTCAAAGCTCTGAATAGAGAAGAAAGTATTCTGTGAAGAATTTAAAACTTAAGATTGTAGGATGCATGGATTCAGAATCTGAATTTATAGTTTCCACATTGGATGAAATCGCCAAACAGTAAAATTACCCTTAAAACTGGTTTTAGATTGGTATTACCTTGGGAGGTCTGCCAGACACAAACATAAACACATCCATATCCTAGGTTTGCACAGCTTATATAAAAAATATTTTCAAATCTATTTTAAAGAGGTTCACAAAAACTACAAGCCATACAAGGAAATAATCTACTCTCAAAAAAAGTCAGTAGGTAAACAAGAGGAGTATCATAATAATTTGATATAGCAGATTGATCTTTAAAAGACTGTAAAAAATGTTTTAAACTATTAAAGAGAAGTGTTTAGTAATGACTGAGTATTTTTAGGAATGACTGAGAATTTTTCTAAGTTGATAAAAGATATGAATTCTTAAATTGAAGAAAACGTCCTGGAGCAACATATATAAAAGAAAATCCAACTTGAAACATTGCAGTTGAAAATGAAGACAAAGAAAACACTTCAAAAGCAACCAGAGGCCAGGCACAGTGGCTCACGTCTATAATCCCAGCACTTTGAGAGGCCAAGGCAGGTGGATTGCTTGAGGTCAGGAGTTCAAGACCAGCCTGGCCAACATGATGAAACCCCTGTCTGTACTAAATACAAAAATTAGTTGGGCGTGATGGCACATGCCTGTAATCCCAGCTACTTGGGAGGCTGAGGCAAGAGAATCTCTTGAACCCAGAAGGCAGAGGTTGCAGTGAGCCGAGATTGCACCCCTGCACTCCAGCCTGGGCCACCAAGCAAGATTCTGTCTTGAAAGAAAGAAGAAAGAAAGAAAAAGAGAGAGAGAGAAAGGAGGGAAGGGGAGGGGAGGGGAGGGGAGGGAACCAGAGAGAAAAAAGAAATAACTTACAAAGGAACAAAAAGTAGACTAACAGGAGACTTCATGCATGCAAAAATACAGGCCAGAAGACAATCAAATAATATCCATAGATTGAGGACAGCAAATTATTTCCAGCTAAACTATCATTGAAGAGAGAGAGTAAATAAAAATACTTTCAAGGCCGGGCATGGTGGCTCATACCTTTAATCCCAGTACTTTGGGAGGCCAAGGCAGGTGGATCATCTGAGTTCAGGAGTTCAAGACCAGCCTGGCCAACATGGTGAAACCCTGTCTCTACTAAAAATACAAAATGTAGCCAGGCATGGTGGTGCGAGTCTGTAATCCCAGCTACTAGGGAGGCTGAGGCAGGAGAATTGCTTGAACCCGGGATGCTAAGGTTGCAGTGAGCTGAGATCCCACCACTGCACTCCAGCAAAACTCTGTCTCAAAAAAAAACAAAAAAAAAAAGTTTGACATTATAAGGGTGTTTTTCTTTCTTGCTTGTCTATAACTTTAATGTGGTTTTTCAAATTTTCCCCAAGGGTTTTTGTTGTTGTTGTTGTTGTTGTTGTTGAGACAGGGTCTCAACTTTGTCACCCAGGCTGGAGTGCAGTGATGTGATCTCAGCTCACTGCAGCCTCTGTCTCCCAGGCTTAAGCAATCCTCCCACTTCAGCCTCTCTAGTAGCTGGGACTACAGACACATGCCACCACGCCCATCTAGTTTTTGTATTTTTAGTAGAGATGGGGTTTTGCCATGTTGGCTGGTCTTGAACTCCTGGGCAATCCACCCACCTCGACCTCCCAAAGTGCTGGAATCACAGGCATGAGCCACTTTCATGACTCTGTCTCAAAAAAAAAAAAAAAAAAAAAAAGTCTCAATCATTAAAACAGTGTGATATTGATGGGCAGGGCCCGGTGGCTCATACCAGTAATCCCAGCACTTTGGGAGGCCAAGGCAGGTGGATCACCTGAGTTCAGGAGTTCAAGACCAGCCTGGCCAACATGGTGAAACCCTGTCTCTACTAAAAATACAAAATGTAGCCAGGCATGGTGGTGCGAGTCTGTAATCCCAGCTACTAGGGAGGCTGAGGCAGGAGAATTGCTTGAACCCGGGAGGCGGAGGTTGCAGTGAGCTGAGATTGCGCCACTGCACTCCAGCCTGGGGGACAGAGTGAGACTCCGTCTCCAAAAAAAAAAAAAAAAAAAAAAAATGTGCTATTAAGAAATTAACAGACAGACCCAAGGAAGAAAATAGAAAGTCCAAAAATAAATAGAGCTATGTGGAGAATTTTAACTTAAGGAAAACATGACATTTCAACACAACAGGAAAATGATAGATTATTCAACAAATAGTGCACTGAGTAGGCATCTGAGGAAAAAAATGAGATTTACACTTTATGTACAAATTGCAAATGGATGAAATGTAAAAGAAATAAATGGAGGGTCAGAGAGAAAGAAAAAGAAAAGAAACCTTAAACATACTGAAATAAACTCTGGGAAGGCATCCCTAACTGTGATACAAAAGCCAAATGCATTTTTTAATAAAAAGATATTATTAATTCCACTGCTTCAAGATCAAAAATCTCCATATGGCCAAAAAAAATCACAGTTGCCACTCATAACACAAAAAGCTAACTTGAAAGAACTTCAAATTCATTAGAAAAAAACTAACCTATATAAAAATGGGCAAAGGGTATGAACAGACAGTTCTGAGAAACATGAAAAAATATTCAACTTCATTCCTCATAAAAGATCCAAGTTAAAATTCTCCTCAGGTATTTATCTTTCCATATTAGATTGACCAAGATGAAAAAACATAGTATACTCATAAGTTACAGGTAGGTTTGTAAATTGGTTCACCCTCTACAGAGGAAATTTGGCAATAATTACCAAAAGGACAGACCTCACACCTTTTGACCTAACATTTCCAGTCCTAGGGCACCATCTAGGATATACAGATATTTTTGCACATATGGCAAATGCCACTCCTGAAGGACGCAGAAAAAGTCTAAACAAACAAACAAATGGTTTGGCAATAATCTTATAAATTATATACAAATCCTTCCATAATAAAATATACTTATTTATTATGTCTTTTTGTTGTATAATTCAAACTAAAATGTATTACTAACCTTCTTTTTTAAATATGCATAAAGGCAGCAAATATAAAGTCTATGGACCCTGCCTCAGGTTATTCAAATAACATCACCATTGATCAAATACTCAAGAAAAAGCAGACTTGTACAGTGGCTGATGAAACTGCTATTAAACAACACGTGAGTATTCCCTGTGGAGTGCCTTCCCAGAAATCACTGACAAAAATATTGTCCACTTCAATACTACACCATAAAACCAAGGTAATTTTTATCTGCTCTATGTCTTTAAAATGAGACAAGATTGTTTCTCATGTTTACCCATTGTGATAACACCATTTCTTTCTCTATAATCAAATAGATTCAAATGTTAAGTGTTATTATTCATCCTGCTATTCACCTATGCAGCTATACTCACTATTATTTCTGGGACATTCATTTATGTTATTCCAGAAATATCAAACTAATTAAGGTAGTTGACCAACAGTCACAGTGAGTAGTGTACTCAGAGATTCATAGTGAAAGAATCTTACATCCTGAGGCCTCTAGCCCTGGGGCACCAGCTGCACCAGGGCTAAGAAGCTTGAGAAGGTCAATAGTTTGGTATTAATACACTGGAAATCTTGGCATTAGGTAAAGAACAGCTAGGGCAAGTATTCTTTGGGCTATCTCAATCTATCCTCCTTGGTTCAGCTGCCACCTATGTACTGATTGCTATTAAAGTTGTCACTAACCTAACTTCATTCCTCTATTTCTGTCTTATCTCACTGACCACTTGATGAATATTTCTACCTCTACCTAGGGTTTCATAACAAACTCAACATGTCCAAAACAAAACTCATCATCTTCTGCATCCAACTGGCTCTCCCCTGGGAATTCTGTATCGCAGGTGTTTTGTGTGTGTCTGTGTGTGCATGTGTGTGTGTGTGTGTGTGTTTTCAAATAAGGTCAACTTTTTATTTTAGATCCACGGGGTACATGTGCAGGTTTGTTGCAAGAGTATATTGCATATGTCTCAGTTGATAGCAACTAGTCAGTCACTGAAGCTAGAAGGCCAGGAGCTATCCTTAACTTGGGTTTTTTCCTCGTTCTTCACATCTGCTAATCCCCAAGTCTGGCCTATTGTCATTCTCTTAAAGATTTTTCAGGGCCAGGCATGGTGGCTCACACCTGTAATCCCAGCACTTTGGGAGGCCAAGACAGGCGAATCACCTGAGGTCAGGAGTTTGAGACCAGCCTGGCCAACATGGTGAAACCCTATCTCTACTAAAAATACAAAAATTAACCAGGCGTGGTGGTGGGGTGCCTGTAATCCCAGCTACTCGGGAGGCTGAGGCAGGAGAATCCCTTGAACCCAGGAGGCAGAGGTTATGATGAGCCAAGATCGCACTACTGCACTCCAGCTTAGGCGACAGGGCAAGACTCTGTCTCAAAAAAAAAAAAAAAACATTTTTCAAATCTGTCCCCTTCACTCCATCCCCATTACCACTGCCTTAGATGAGGCAGTCGCCAACCTGGTGTCCTCCAACCATTCTCTACACGGCTGCTAATAATCCAACATGGACAGCCAACCATGGCACTGTCCTGCTTAAAAGTAAACACATCCCTCTCAATGATGGCAATTTCAACTCTATTTTCTGATTAAGGGATTTGTTTCACTTTCATTAGAAACAGTGGCTCACTACAGCAAGATTTTCACTGAGGAACAGTGTCTTGCTAGCCTCACAGAGATTACTGACTTATAAGATTAAGTGTAAGGGCCTGCCTGTCCTTTGTCATTATTTATTCCTCTGACTTTAAACTTGACACTCCAGCAATACCAAGTGCCTGAACCCTCCTACCACACCTCCAGGATATTTACTGCCTTGGGGGTCTCTTTACACTGTCCCTTCTCCCTGGAACACCTTCCCCTCACCACTCACTCCCTCAATTTGATCACATCCTTGAGGACCTACTCAGCTCAGCATCATCTCCCAGTCAGTTCTCCCTATCCTAGGCTGAATTGAGTGACTGAATTGGCACTCCTGTTATATCCATAGCCTATCTCCATCCCATACTTCAGCCTATTTTAGTCCACTGTATTTTTCATATCCTTATAAAATTTCTTATTACCTCATTATTCCCAAGCAGTACATTTTGATTGTCCATCAACTCCTAGCTCACATTTCCTCACGAGGCACCACCCAATGTATAGACTCTGACTTTCAAGTAGCCTAGGAACATAACTCTTGGGGTATCTATCATTGTGGTCCACAAATCAAAGCTACTTTAAGGTAACTACAATAAACTTCTGGTCTCTCACTACAGGTGAAGAGAGCTACTGATACCTATAATTTTGGAATTGCCCTTGAACACCGGAAAGAAATGCTAAACCTCTGGCAGAAGATCCGAGGGGATTTGATTGGGATAGACTCTAGAAATGAGTCCTTTTATGACACCTTTTCTACTTATACATGGTCCTGGAATGTTTGCCAAGAACTACTTTCTCCTAAGGACTTAAGGTTATATGATGCCTATGTGAATAGAAATTCCTCCCATAACTCCAGATCCTTTTCCTCATCAGATACCAGTGAATGTGACACAGACTCAGGAAGAAAAAGAAAACGGAAAGGTTTAAAGGGATTTCAGTAATGAAATTTCTACATTTTCTAAACAGCTCATCACAAACTACTTTTTCATAGTTATCAAAATTATGGTTTCTTGCTTTTCTCTCAGTACATTCTTAGAAGCTGGAAATTTTGACATCTTTTGGATTCTGACCAGTAAAAATGTTTAAGTCATAAAATGGTTTCCCTTTCGTTAAATTTTTTGTTTGTTTGTTTATGTTTTGAGATGGAGTCTTCCTCTGTCACCAGGCTGGAATGCAGTGGCATGATCTTGGCTCACTGTAACCTCTGCCTCCTGGGTTCAAGCCATTCTCTTGGATCAGCCTCCCGAGTAGCTGGGATTACAGGCGCCCACCACCACACCCAGCTAATTTTTGTATTTTTAGTAGAGACGGGGTTTCACCATGTTGGTCAGGATGGTCTGGATCTCCTGACCTCGTGATCCGCCCACCTCGGACTCCCAAAGTGCTGGGATTATAGGTGTGAGCCACCGCACCGGGCCCCCTTTCCTAAATCTTTACCAGTAAATAGATGCTGGGCTGTTCGTTCCCTAGCAATCAGCTATGCTCTGCTGCCCCTACCTGGCTTGAGACTGCCTAAGCCTCAGCAGGAAGGAGAAAAGTTGACCTGAGCTAAGGGCTCTCCAAGCAATAAACCTGAGTTTATGGTGAGTGTAAACTGGATTAGGTTTTCAATTGTTTGTGAAAGACACTAGAGACAGCAGAAGAGGATGACCTTTCAGTTTCAGGGAATAAGATCAGCAAGCCCTAAAGAACCTTGATTAAATTTGGGTATTCCCAAGGCTCCTTAGCTACAACCTGCATACCTGGATTGCTCTTACAAATAGCTGAACACGGCCAGGTGCGATGATTCATGCCTGTAATCCCAACACTTCGGGAGGCTGAGGCAGGCGGATCACCTGAGGTCAGGAGTTCGAGACCAGCCTGGCCAACATGATGAAACCCTGTCTCTACCAAAAATACAAAAATTAGCCGGGCGTGATGGCACACGCCCATAATCCCAGCTACTCTGGAGGCTGAAGTGGGAGAATCACTGGAACCTGGGAGGAGGAGCTTGCAGTGAGCTGAGATTATGCCACTGCACTCCAGCCTGGGTGACAGAGCAAGACTCTGTCTCAAAACAAAACAAACAAAAAACGAATAGCTGATCACAACAATTGTATTTATTGTTGCTGTTCTTTAATGCATTTAATAAAGCAGCACATATATAACTATATTACAAGTTTGGGGATTATAATTTTTTATTATGGTAAAATATACATTCCATAAAATTTGCCCTTTCAATCATGTTTAAGTATGTATCATCCATTACTGGTTTTTTGTTTTGTTTTGTTTTTGTTTTTGTTTTGGTGTGTGTGTTTGTTTAGAGACAGGGTCTCACTCTGTCACCCAGGCTAGTGTGCAGTGACACAATCATGGCTTGCTGCAGCCTCAACCTCCTGGGCTCAAGGAATCCTCCCACCTCAGCTTCTCACGTAGTTGGAACTACAGGCATGCCCCACCATGCCTGGCTAATTTTTTTATTTTTGTGGAGACATGGACTCCCTATGTTGCTCAGGCTGGTCTCAAACTCCTGGGCTGAAGTGATCCTCCCACCTCAGCCTCCCAAAGTGGTGTTATTACAAGTATGAGCTACTGTGCCCAGTCCCACTGGGGTATTTTTCTGTGGTTCTCAAGGGTTGCCCACAGAAAGACAGACCACCTTTGGACTCAGGAAATCTGGATGTACCAAGACTAAATCTATATTAACCTTCTGATCTACTGTCAGGATGGCAAAGTGTTTTATTTCTTGTGCCAATTCTGATCTAAAAATGTAAGGGATAAAAAATATATATATAAGGGATGAGATCAACTATTTGTAAATGTTGTCCAAGAAGCTGGTTTGCAGGTGTGTGGGTGCAAACCAGTCCATCACACTCAACATATAGAACAAATGCTTTTTAAATCACTATTCTAGAAAAATTTTGACCCAGAAAAAGGAAAAGATATGTCCAATATTGATGGGGACAATGCCTCATAATGTTAAAAAAAAAAAAATTGAGACAGAGTCTTACTCTGTTGCCCAGGCTCAGCGCAGCAACATGATTTCAGCTCACTGCAACCTCCACCTCCCCAGGTTCAAGCGTTTCACCTGCTTCAGCCTCCCAAGTAGCTGGGATTACAGCTACGTGCCACCACACTCAGCTAATTTTTTATTTTTAGTAGAGATGGGGTTTCGCCATGTTGCCCAGGCTAGTCTCAAACTCCTAACCTCAGGTGATCCTGCCAACATCAGCCTCCCAAAGTGCTTGGATTACAAGCGTGAGCCACCGCGCCCCGCTGTAAAATTATAAAATACCAGGAAAAAGCAATGAAGGCAATGCCCCCAAAACTGCTTATTGAAATGGCCTTGAGGTAATTTTGCGAGTGTTACCATGAATAGTCAAAAGAGTCTAAATATACTTGCTATTATTCATAAAGATACAATGTTGGAGAGAAGAACTAACCTTATAGATAAGTAGCCATATTTTCTAGGTAAAAAGATTTATTTTACCTAGGTATTTCTAGGTAAAAAGACTTTTCATATGGCTGTAGGTATAACAGGGAATCTAGGAGATATAATTTCGATGCCAAAATGTTACAGTTCCTGGAATCTTTCCTTGCATCAGTGAGATAACAGGACAGAATATTTTTTAGTAGGATCTGTCCTGGAAAATCTAAAATGTACAGCAATAGATTATTTCTATTAAATTGTCACACACTGTCAATGACAGTATAAATTGGCATCTCTCTGCCGAAATATAGTATAGCAAGAGGGTACTCATCCATCCATTCATTCACCAATTATCAAATGAGTTGCATACTGTGTGCCAGACCTAGTTCTAGGACCTGAACATATAACAGTTAAACAAGTAAAATGACTTAACCTCACAGAGCTTAGTGATAGAGCTAATTATAACCATTGACTCAGCAATTCCTATTCTAGAAAGTAATCATAGGCCGGGCGCGGTGGCTCAAGCCTGTAATCCCAGCACTTTGGGAGGCCGAGACGGGCGGATCATGAGGTCAGGAGATCGAGACTTATCATCCTGGCTAACCACGGTGAACCCGTCCTACTAAAAATACAAAAAAAAAAAAACTAAGCCGGCCAAAGTTGGACGGGCTGCCTGTAGTTCCCAGCTACTCGGAGCTCAGGCAGGAGATGGCGTAAACCCGGGAGGCGGAACTTGCAGTGAGCTGAGATCCGGCCAACTGCATCTCCAGCCTGGGGCCACACAGCAAGGCTCTGTTCAAAAAAAAAAAAAAAAAGAAAAAAAGGCCGGGCGCGGTGGCTCAGCCTGTTAATCCCAGCACTTTGGGAGGCTGAGACGGGCGGATCACGAGGTCAGGAGATCGAGACCATCCTGGCGAACACGGTGAAACCCCGTCTCTCCTAAAAAAAAATACAAAAAACTAGCCGGGTGAGGTGGCGGGCGCCTGTAGTCCCAGCTACTTGGGAGGCTGCGGCAGGAGAATGGCGTGAACCCGGGAGGAGGAGCTTGCAGTGAGCTGAGATCCGGCCACTGCACTCCACCCTGGGTGACAGAGCGAGACTCCGTCTCAAAAAAAAAAAAAGAAAGAAAGAAAGTAATCATAAAAAAATAATCATGAATGTACAAAATTGTTTCATTACAAAGATGTACACCATGTTTAATTTTTTTCTTTTTCTTTTTTTATTTTTGGGACTACAGGTGCATACCACCATACCTGGCTAATTTTTGTATTTTTAGTAGAGACAGGGTTTCATCATGCTGGCCAGGATGGTCTTGAACTCCTGACCTCGTGATCCACCTGCTTCGGCCTCCCAAAGTGCTGGGATTACAGGTGTGAGCCACTGCGCCCAGCCATTAAACGTTTAATAGTATGAAACTTAAAGTAGCCTAAATGTCCAGTAAAGCACGATACAGCTATATGAAACAATACCAGAAGGACATTAAGTGATGTTGTAAAAGAATATTTTGAACAAAAGAATAATGTCCCCAAGTTTTATTAAGTTAAAAAGCAGACTACAACTGCTAAGTGGCATGGGAGAACTTCAAGGCATTGTTCTAAAACTAGATTGTGACACTGATTACACAAATATAGATTTTTATGAAAATGCATTGAACTGTACACTTAAAATAAATGAATGTAATTAGGTTCTCTTGTTGTTGTTGTTATTTGAGACAGAGTCTTGCTCTGTTGCCCAGGCTAGAGTGCAGTGACACATTCTCAGCTCACTGCAACCTCCGCCTCCTGGGTTCAAGCGATTCTCCTGCCTCAGCCTCCTGAGTAGCTGGGATTACAGGCACCCACCACCACGCCCGAGTTTTGTTTGTTTGTTTGTTTGTTTTGTGAGAAGGAGTCTCACCCTGTTGCCCAAGCTGGAGTGCAGTGGCACAATCTTGGCTCACTGCAAGCTCCACCTCCGGGGCTCAAGCGATTCTCCTGCCTCAGCCTCCCAAGTAGCTGGGACTACAGGCAGACGCCACCACACCCGGCTAATTTTTTGTATTTTAGTAGAGATGGGGTTTCACCATGTTGGCCAGGATGGTCTCGATCTCCTCACCTTGTGATCCGCTCACCTCGGCCTCTGAAAGTGCTGGGATTACAGGCGTGAGCCACCACACCTGGCCTAATTTTTGTACTTTTAATAGAGATAGGGTTTCACCATCTTGGTCTGGCTGGTCTCGAATTCCTGACTTCGTGATCCACCCGCCTCAGTCTCCCAAAGTGCTGGGATTACAGGAGTGAGCCACCGTGCCCGGCCAGATAAATGTAATTGTTTAAAAAAAAACAAAAAGGCACAAAGCATTTTGTTGTGAAACTATTTTAATGTAAAGTCACTTGTATAACTAAATTAGAAAGAAAAGACAGGGATGATATAAGCCAAAGCGTTAATGAGTCAAATTAATGGTGGGAAGAAGTATTCTCTTTTTTCTTATCAATATCTTCTAATGTTCTATAATAAAAAATTTATTTTGCAATAAGAAAACATAGGCCAGGTGCAGTGGCTCACGGCCCCAAGTAATCCCAGCACTTGGGGAGGCTGAGGCAGACGGATTGCTTAAGACCAGGAGTTCGAGGCCAGCCTGGGCAACATGGCGAAACACTGTCTCCAC